AGATGTTAAATTGGCGAGCGGTAACTTTAATTTCTGAGTGGAGACACAGATTAATGTGGGTCCTATTTGCGGGTGGAGAGTAAAACACAGAAATATTGTGGTCAATTAAAATAAAGTTTATTTTATTAAAATAAATAAATCTTGTTATTAAATAACCGGCGTCGGTCATAAATAATCTTACAATAAAATTATTCAATCTCTAATAAGCATCTAATTAAATGTTAAGGAAAATTTATATGATTCCACGTATTTTTCTTATTTTCCCCTACTGAAATGTTTTTATTATAGATAATCGTAAAAGTTCTCTTGTATGCAACAAATTACTAAAATTTGAAATTACAGTTTGACTCGACTCACACTCTTGCCTTCACAATTTCTGGCTGAACATGGAAAAACTCTACTTACATTTAACAATAATATATTTACTGCTGGCCACACATAATTACACAGAATTCTTATTGGTCGAAGGAGTTTACTTTACTTATGAACATTTAATAAAACTCGTGCTTCTTCTCTCGGTTAATTCGACAACTCTTTCACGCCGTAGTTCTGACTTTCTGGACACAGGTCTCTCGATTACTACTTGTTTCTTGATTACTCAACCGAACACTGGTTTACAGACGTAGCTCTACCCGTTTACTCGTTCTTTCTTGAACACTGCTTTTCTCCTGCCAAAGTTGCCTTTTTATATCATTGATCCCCCCATTGTCCTGAATGTCTCTGTTTTTTCTGACCTCGATTTTACGTTGTTGAATCATCCGATCAATTAGTGTATTTGGTCTCCTTTTAATTAATTATCAAGGGCGTCGCTAAGTGGTTTGTTTAGTGGTTATCATCATATAGGCTCGTGCGTGATTTATTGATCCTTTTAGAAATTTTTCGGTTCCTTTGGAATGTCAATTGTTGAAAGCACTTAAAAAAAGGTCCATGAACTTCTGCTTTATTCACATTCCAATATATTAGTAAATAATTTACTAAACCCTATATACCCGATAATTATTATCGGGTATATAGGGTATCGGCATTCAATAATTTCTGGATATCGATGTTCAGATAAATTTTCATTTGAACATTGAAGTTTCTGGTTGTGTTGTCTGAGTGACGATCTCTCCTGGGATGGTTGTTTGGTAAGTCCTTGCTATTCTTGATCAAAATTTCTGTAGTCACTACAGTTTGATTCGCCAACGTACCTACCATTTTCGATGTAGGGTCTTTTAAATTGAAAAATCATTGCAAGGGCTCATGGTCCGTTATGATATTGAATTTTTGTCCGTAAGGGTACGGTCGGAAGTACTATTCGTTAAGACACAGGCACTCCCTTTCAATAGTTCTGAATGATTCAAGGTGCGAGATGCGTAAGCTATTGGCAAATCTTGTCCAATAGGGCTACGTTACTAGCATCACATGTTAGGTTAAATGTCTTCGAAAAGTCTGGGTATTGTAGTATAGGTTCATTCACAAGCAATTTTTTGCAATTTTCAAAACAATCGATAAATTCTTGGTTGTGCTCAATCCTTGCGCCTTTCTTCAAGCATATCGTAAGGGGTTTTGTGATTTTTGCAAAATTATCTATAAAACGTCTATAATATCCAAGTAGTCCGAGAAAGCCTTTAATTTGTTTTGTAGTTTTTGGAATTGGGTATTTTTTGTATGGCTTTGATTTTGTTTGGATTTGGTCGCACTCCTTCTGTATGTGTGTCACTGTATGGGCATGGCCTAAATATGGCACTTCTCAGTTCTCGTCTGAGAAATTCACTTTTGACCAATTAAATTTTGAAACTGGTTTCACGCAATCTTTGGAAAACCAATTTGAGTCGTTCTAAGTGCTCTTGTAGCGAAGTGGAAAATATAATAATCTCGTCGAGGTATACATGACATTTTCCGTTCTGGATTCCTCGTAATATACTGTTCATGGTCCTTTGGAAAGCTGCGGGGGCATTCTTCAGCCCAAATGGCATACGCAGAAATTCGTAATAGCCATTTTCCGTATTAAATTAGGTTTTCACTATGTCGTTCTTGTTCATCTGTATCTGATGAAATCCGCTGGCCAAGTCCAATGTAATAAAATATTGACATTTTCCTAATTTGTCTAATAGGTTATATGCGGTAGGGGGTATTTGTCTGTTATGGTTTTCGCATTAACGCCACGAAAATCTACTACTACACTCTCCATTTCTGCTTTCCAGAAGCATCCGCTTTCTTTGGAACCACCCAAATTGGCGATGACCAGAGAGAGTTGCTTGGACGAACTATTTTTTGGTCAAACATTTATTTTATCTGTGATTCGACTTCTTTTTTATGTATAAAATGGTATTTTACTATATACAGGTTGTTCATCAGTGGTTTTAATTGAATGTCTTATTTCACTTCTAAATGTCAGTGGCATGTTTTCTTGATAAAATATATCTGAGTACTCTTCACATAATTTGATGATTTTCGATTTTTCTTCTTCATTCATATGATCGATCGGTGCGAATTTGAGAACAGTCAAAATTGGGTTTGCAATCACCCCAACGTTGGGGGCGTCGGACCCCCCCAATGCCACGAGATATTTGTCCGACAAATGTGATATCGTTAATATAACATAGAAAACAGTTGATTGGAAATAAAACTACACGTATCACCGTTCTCAGGAACGTCCGAATGAAAACTTCACGAAGAGCTAGCGCGACAATGTCTCATTACCCATGTTGAAGATATGGAAAACATTGTCCGACTTGGTGTCGAAGTACTGGGGACTAATATTATTTCGGGGGTTAAGTTTGGGGATTTTCTGAGGCATGATTCAGAAAATTTACGTTATCATAAGAGTAACCAGTTGCATTATTGTGATCAGCAGACCAGACTCCAGCATATTGGGGGTGTTAATTAGACTCGGAATCATAAAGTTGGTCAAAATTAGATGAATCGTAGTACTTATAAGGATTCTGGGTCACTTTCCTCAGTGTCAACATGAGGTTTGTTAACGTCATCAGCTACGATCGTATTATAGTATGAAATTACTTGGTTGGTTGGACTGGAAATAATTTCTAGAAGGTAGTTGAGCATTGGCATTAAAAGTTTGTTGACATATAGGAATAGGTTTTGGGAAAGTTCTATTTTGATTGGGTTTAAATACATTTGTCGAGTTTGTGTTGGGTTCATTTTTGAATACTTGAGAATTGGTTGAGAATCTTTCTGGAATTTTGTTATAATTTAGTTTCACAGCAATAGGCTGAGATGGAAATGTTGGTTTAGTTGTAAATAAGTTGTTAGGTGTTTGGCTATTAAATCCTGGGTTAAAATGTGTGTTTCTAAATTATTGTGTATTTGCTGTATTGTGTTGTATGGGTTTTTGTGTATGAGGTTTAGAAAAATTCTGAAAATATTGAGTGTTATATTCATCAGTAACAAATTGTAGAGCTTGCGGAAGGTCTCGTGGATGCATTCAATGAATTATCGTACCTAATGGTTCCCTTAGGTCTGATAACAATGTTTTAAAAGCTAAATCATTGCATAAATTACGTTTCAGCAATTTTGCAGCGTCATTCATTTCATGAATATCCACGTAGGCACATAGAGGATTTAAAATATGTAAAATACGATCATAGAAATGGCTTGGTTTTTCACCATTTTGCTGTCTAACCATTACTAAATCGCGAATTGAACAAGCTTCATCGCGCTGGTCAGCAAAATGCCTGCTCAAAATAGTTTTAAGTTGGTCCCAAGATGTTACATTTTGGGTTCCCAAAACTAATTTGGCGTTACTGGTCAATTTGTCGATTATCGAGTTCAGCAAGTAAATGTTCTGTAAACTATCTGGTTGAGCAGCGTTATAAAAACCATCAATGAGGCTTTGACGTACTGGTAAATATCTGTTCAAATCATTCGGATTTCCGTCAATAGGCTACTTGCATGGAAAATTAAATTGATTATTGTTTATTGCAAACTGTAGGAAATCGAAAAAAAATCGTTACTTTTTTTTTATTTCGCCCAAAAATGATTATTCCGGAAGTTATACAAATATTAAGTTTTTATATATAGATATACTGAGCATGTGCGACGTCACAACTCACAACGTATTATACCTAAGTTATGACGTCGGAAAGACATTTCAAAGCGTTGTATCTCCGTCAATTTTTGACTAACAAGAAAAAGAAAAAACACGTGTTGACTTATTTTTCATGGACTATCGAAATCAGCAATAAAAAAATTGATGCAAGGGGCCTATTGTGGTACACAGCTTTAGGTACCTACTCTGGCTTGAAATGAGCCATATTGTTAAGAGTTAATTTCAACTGACTAATTATCCTAGGAAAATATATAGGTATATTTATAATAAGCTGAAAAGCAGAATAAGTATTTCAAATGAGGACTCAGCAAATAGACGTGATATAACTAATAGCCAGTTTTCAAACTTTTTAGTTGTATTAAAATTTCATCAATAACTTTTAATACAATATACTTACTATTTTCTAAAAGCGTGCGGAAAATAGCACTTTAACGCATTATTTTCTGTACAGAAAGTGAGTAGGTATCTAGTTCTTTTCCGTATGATTTCAAAAATTTCAATAGTTGAAGCCGATTTTCATAAATTAAATGGAAACCATATTATTCTGTTTTCTCTAAAAAGTTCAGTTTTTGGGGAAAAATTAGTTATTCACTAGTTGGGTTTCAGTAATTAATAGCCAATATATATTGTAGCATATTTGTAGCATATTGTTTGCCAGATAAACGCACTTATTGATATCACATATTATATTTAAAATCTTGTTTTTGCATTCATAAATTATTGATATAAACAATACCATATATTATAGGTTTATGCATAATTATTACTGTTTACCTCCCAACACCATAAAGTAATAGCTCAAATCAGCTATTTTTCAAGATCACGATTTTGAAAATATATTATCTTCCTTTATACTAGGAAAAAAACATGCCAATATGTAATTAGGATTATTATTAAGAAATTACACAATCTGTAAAAAAAAGGCTTGACTTGATTATTAATATTTCAGAAAAATCACACCATCATGGCAACTATTCTTCTATCGTTCATGATTGCTACAATGGTACTTAGTGTCCCAATAGCAGTCCAAGACCAATTTCCAGACGAAAGTGCACCCAGCAATTTTCAAGCTGTAAGGCAAACATTGAGATACGACAACTTCCAAAGAGTGCCTGCAGTGGATAAACGAAAAAAATTCGCTTGGGAACAATTTGATGCTCCCGATATCCAATATAATTTTTAATTAGATTATTATAAGAATTAACGAAAAATAAAGTTAAAAAATATATTAAAACTAGTATTAAGGAAATATGTCATGTTCAAATCGAATAACTGAAAACGAAAATAATTTTTTCTACGAGCGTGCATTTTTTATCACTTTCCCGCACGCATTTTAGTTCCGAAAATGTCATTTTCCCGCACTAGTGCGGGAAAGTGGCGTTCAGAAGTGTCAGTTTTGTTAATTAATCAAACATTTTATCAATTTTGTCTGCATACATTTTTGCTATTTTAATCCATATTATTCTAATTTGTGGATCTTTCAAAAATTTAATAATTTTTTTTGATATTGTATACAGGTATGGTTTTTTTAACGTTGGTTAACATATGGTACTTGTATATATATTTGTATATATGCTTGTATATATAATTGTATATATACTTGTATATAAACTTGTATATATGCTTGTATATATAATTGTATATATACTTGTATATATGCTTGTATATATAATTGTATATATACTTGTATATATGCTTGTATATATAATTGTATATATACTTGAATATATACTTGTATATATACATGTACCCTTGATACATAAATAACTATTGTAATTGAACGATTTCTTCAATAATATATCGCTTTGAATTTACTTAATTTTTATTTCTATATTTGAACGCGCTCGTAGAAAAAATAATGTTCCTTACTCATGCGGAAAGTGTCTTTCCCGCACTCGACTGCTTGCCCGAACTCCGCTTCGCGTCGTTCGGGTCAACGGCAGTCGCGTGTGGGAAAGTATCACTTTCCGCACTTGTTAGGAAAATAACTATTTAAAATCATTATAATAAATAGGTAAAATGTGTAAAATTTCTATTACTATTCTATATATTTTGGAATGAAAATAGTAAAACTCAGAAATTTTTTGTAGATTTATTAAAAAAAGTACCTAAGTACCTAATCCATAAGAGAATAAAAGGTAAACTAAAAAAAAAACATATTTCTTTATTTTCTTTTAGCTATTACCAACTTTATTTACAAGTTTCTGTTTTTCACTAAAATTTTCCATTTTCCTACACTGACCTTCTTCTATAATTTTTTTTGCCGTTTTCAACGTGCCATTCTGCAAATAATACAAAGTAAAATTTGACGGAGCACTGTTCAATATTTTTGCACTCCCCAGACATTCGTCGCCTCTATAAAACACTGCAAATTGTCCGGGAGTTAAGGCCCGTTTGGATTTTTCCAGTTTAACTAATAAACCGTCATTGCACTGACAAACTTTACACGAAGCCCATTCTTCTGTGTGTTGGAATTTAAAATCGCATGTTAAAATATTGTCTTTTTTGAGTTCTTTGGGTTTTGAGTGGATCCAATGTGGCTTTGTGGTGAATAATAGCGACCCGTGGAATGACGGATGTTTGGTACCTTTTGCCTAAATCAATTTGCCTAGAATCATTTAAATTATTTGCCTAAATACTTACAACATAAATTATATTATCTTCTGCATTTTTTTTACAAGTAAAATATGCTTCTGGCAGCCCTGGCAGTCTAGATCTTTGGCCCAAAGTCCATTTGTGAATACCTTTATGTTCTCCTACAATTTGTCCTGTGTCAATATCCACAAATTTGCCTGGTTTGTCTGGAATATACTGAAAATAATCATTATACACGAATAAAATTTTGTTTCCGGAAATAATATTCACCTCCTCAATGAAATCTTGAAAATTCCTAGACCCAATAAAACAGATTCCCATACTTTCATGTTTAAAAGCAAATTTTTCTAAATTATTTTCTGTTGCAATATGTTTTACTTCCCACTTCATAAGATTGCCCAAAGGAAACATTGTTTTTTTCAGAGCTTCCTGTTGCACTTGACATAAGAAAAATGTTTGGTCTTTTTTGGTGTCTTTGGCTCTCAAAAGTTTCACCCCTAAAATAAACATAGACATCATTGTTGAATAAATATATTATCCCTCGTATTATCCATTACCTTCATTAGGATTATAATGTTCTAAATATGGCCCAAAACTTGTATTAGCATAATGTCCTGTAGCAATAGCATCTGCTTTTAAGTGTTCCATAGAATATTTATAAAAATAATTAAACTTAACATTTCTATTGCATAAAATATCAGGATTTGGTGTATTGCCTGTCTCATATTCTTTAACTAAATTGCTACAAATATAATAATGCTCAGTTTTGAGTTTTGATTTCATCCACAGTGAATATCACCTTACCAAAAAACTTCATTCCAATATTCCTTAACAAAATTAACATGATGCAATTTGATATTTAATTGTTTACATAACTGACTGGCATCTTTGTAATCTTCATCTGCGCGACAACTACCTTTTTCGTCGGCAATGTCCCAATTTTTCATAAAGACGCCTTGGACATCGAAACCTGGAAAGGGAAAGTTAATGCATGAGTTTCAAGTGTAAGAAAAAGTAGTATAAATTCAGAATAATTCTAAAAATTTGATATTATTGTCGAAATTGTGAATATACCTTACTCTTACTGACAAACTATGTATTAGAGTGGTATGTATTTGGATCCGAAATTGCTTCAATTAACAGTATCTACTCAGAAACACTAAAAACTGCGGAAATGTTACAAATCTATGGAAAATAAGTTCAATGATCAAATATCAAAATATCTGCTCAGAACCAGTATTCTAGAACATTTTTTCAAGCCTCAACCAAAATTCCAACACAGAAACTAATAACTACTTTTCTTGTTTCCTCATATTTTCAACCCTTAATAAACTTTGTTTTGTTAGGTCCCTGATAAAAGATGATCCCCATCCAGAATCTCGAGAAAACTGATAAAAACCCCCTTACTTTTATTGAGTTTTTTGATATTCTCAACCCTAATGTTCCACCGATTTTAAAACCAATTTTAGGCAGCATTCTAGAACACCTTGTTAATTCGCAGTAAAAAAAATAGTGGTAGCTGAATCCTAGGAAAATGAATAAAAACCTTTTATTTAATCCGAGGGGTCAACCACTATGCTTACAAATGTACAATGATTTCCATATTTGGCAATCACCGATCAATGAATCTCACGTATTCCCATCCCAAGAATCGCGACTGATTTTCAGATATTTTTGTATGATTACCATGTGATTTCAATTTTTTTCTGGGGATTCCTATATCCAGTGGCGTATTCAAAAGGGGGGGCCCGGGGGGCCTGGCCCCTCCCCAAACGGTAGGCGAATATTTTATATTTTTACACAATACTCTTTGTTTTATATTTTCACGTTATATTTCGTAATTACATAATATTTTTACACCTTTTTCTGCTTTGCTTTTTCTTTGTGCTGCCCATCGCCAACACCTAATAATTAAACATTATAAATAAGGTCTGTTCTCAGTTGTCACAGAAATCACAAACCAGTCAGAGCGAAATTCATTGGTTGAAACTAGTCAGCAAACTGGTTATTGGCGATTTGCACCAATAAAAAACGCTGTCACTGGTTTTGATTTCTGTGAGAACAGACCTTCTTATAACACCGTTCAGTCCACCACCATATAGGTACATGCGTTTAAATTACCGCCATTGGCGCCAGCGATTTTCATTTGATGCAGTGGTAGAGAAGCGGACGCGAAACTCGGTGATGCACTTTAGGTCAAAGTCAAATTGAAACTATTGAAAGTGCCTTAATTCACTACACTGCACGCGCCTACGACTTAAATTCAATAGCAAACCTATAAAATAAAATAAATACTTACCTACCATAAATAAAATACTAATATTTTAATGTAGAAAAAGTAATATATTTTAAACTAAATATCGATATCGAATATCGTTAAAAGGCACAAAAAAGGGTCGTGGCGAGAATTTTTTTTGCCTACGGCGACACCTTTTTGTGATTTCTGTGAGAACAGACCTAATCTCTATCTTGTTCTTCAAGTTCTAAACTCTTCGTAGTCTCAGGTTTAGTTATTGGCTTAGTTATTGGGAAAATCGTTGGGATATCAAATTCAATTCAAATTGTCTAGCACCAGGGCCGTAGCCAGGGGGGGCATTGGGGGGCAATGCCCTATCTTTCAATTGATGATGCCCTACCTTTAAAAATCAACATACAACAGGTTTCTTTAAAAAATTTAAGAGTAGATGATGCCTGAAGTAGATAGGCCTGAAATCGATTAAGCGAGGATGAATGTTTCCAAAAATGCCTAAATCTAATGAACAATGTTTGATTGAAGGTTGTTTGATAAAGGCGAGAGAAGAAGGATACCTGGGCTGAAACTCTGTAACGAATAGAGATATTTTCTCTATCCCTATTGACCGTTCCCTCTCTACTGATTTCGAGAAGAGAGAAGAAGACAGCAAGTGCCATAGCGATAGGGATATAACGATCTCTATACGTTACAGAGTCCCAGCCCTGGCAACTTTATAACGTCATTTGGGGTGACTCAACATAATGCAAATCTCTATAAGGTATCCCAGATCAGATGCATCATCAAGTTACCCATTACCTAACCCCAACCCATTACCATACAACCTGAACCTTGATTTATTGAAAAATTTGCCTTCGGCGCCATTAGCCCCATTTTGTTTACCTATTAAAAATTTAAGGGGGGGGGGGGGGGGGGGGGGCAAGTAGAGTATGCCCTATGTCAAATTTGTCATGCCCTACCTTAAATTTGACTCTAGCTACGACCCTGTCTAGCACTCAATATTGCCTAAACCTAAAACTTAGTCTTAAAGGCAAATAGACAACTGATCGTAAATGACAGATGTCAATTTTTAAATTATGAGCTGACACACTTATCAGCATTGAGAATTATTGACACAATAACGTTATTTATTAAATTATTTTGGTTTAAACTCAACTTTTCTTGTGAAATTACTAAGAATGGTTACTTTATGCTTAAAAATTTCGAAAATTACATAGTAGATACATCAAAACGTACAAATTATTGTTAAAAGTTCTCGATTTTATTGTCTTCAGAATAAGGCACATTATTTGAGAATAGGCCCCTTGCATCAAATTTTTTTATTGCTTATTTCGATAGTTTATGAAAAATAAGTCAACACGTGTTTTTTCTTTTTCTTGTTAGTCAAAAATTGACGGTGATACAACGCTTTGAAATGTCCTTCCGACGTCATAACTTAGGTATAATACGTTGTGAGTTGTGACGTCGTACATGCTCTGTATATCTATATATAAAAAACTTAATATTTGTATAGCTTCCGGAATAATCATATTGGGGCGGAATTTAAAAAAAGTAACGATTTTTTTTCGATTTCCTACAGTTTGCAATAAACAATAATCAATTTAATTTTCCATGCAAGTACCCTATTAGTTTTTTTTTTTTTTATTAATAAATAAATGAGTTTTATTTGTAAAAGTACCTTATTTATATTAAGAAAAAATTACTCGATTTGTTTTTAATACCAGGTGTTGAAGAAGAAATATTATCAAATATTGGTGTTAAAATTTACATTACGTAGGTACGTTCCTTCTAACTCGTAGAAAAAATAGTGTTCCTAACTCGTGCGGAAAGTCTCTTTTCCTCACTTGATTGCTTGCCGAACTCCGCTACGCGTCGTTCGGCAAACTGCAATCGCGTGCGGAAAAGTGGCACTTTCCGCACTTGTTAGGAAATATACTATTTCAACAACCCAACAAGCAGCCATTATGTCTTGTCTGTGTTACTTCACATATTTAAAAATATATAGTACTCCAGGTCGAGCTTCAAGTATACTTTTGAAGTACACTTGCAATACTTTCATCGTACTTTAAGTACTTTTATAGTACTTGGAGTATTTCTAATGTACTGCAAGTACTTCTTGAAAGACTTTTGAATGTGCTTCAAGTCCTTGTACTTGATCAAATCAAGTACAATGCCAAGTACATTGGTAAAAACAGTTCAAGTACCTATAAGTACCGTTTATCCATTGTACTTCAGGTAAAATACTTCAAGTACTTATAAGAACTTGTAGTACAATTATTTCAAGTATTTTGAAATGAGGTATCACTTGAGGACTAATGCCATTTGAGATTTAAGGGTTAGAGCTTACCCCCGCAAGAGGGTTGAAGTGATAACGTCGAAAATATGTGCAAAAGATTTCCCTCCTCCGAATAAAAATTGACGGTTCTGAGCGTTTTTTTTTTCAATTAACGATGAATACTAGATATCGTTCTTGTTTCGTTTTCATTGGCCCACCTTGTATAATATGTGGAAATCCTCTTAAAGAAGAACTTATAGTGTGAACTTATTTAAAAACACAGTTGATTGTGATTGTGAACTCAAAGGTCGTCGTTGCTATTTCTCCAATATGGGCCATAAAAATTTAAATATGATTTGTGATTGTGAATCGAGCTTCCTGTGATTTTAAACCTTTTCAAATTAGTGAGTTTTAATCTGACTCTCGTGGTTTTGAAATTGAAACTGAAACCTGTGAACAAAATAAGTAGCAATAGCTTAATAGGTTTTTGCTTCTGGTATTTGGAAAAAATAATATAGTATGGTAAAGTATCTTAAGAGTCCTTAACTAATACTTACCCAAAGTAACTTCAGATACTTTTTCCAAAAGTAACTTATAAATTACTTTTCAAACGTATCTAATAAGTAATAATGTATCTATCTCTGACAGTACACAACTATAAAATATGTAGTACTAGAAGTAGGTATATTTTATGCTTACCTATATTATTTTGACCAATAAAACGTACCTATCAGTTCACCCTTGCAAATGCAATAAATTAACAAAAATGAATGCCTTTTGTTGGATATCATTGAACTGACTTCAATTAGGTTCAGTTGAATGCAAAGATTGAATCGAGGGGTAAACCACTAGTGGAAATCATTGTACATTTTTTGAGAATCACATAGTAATCCGAGTAGTAATCACTCAGGAATTCATGGAAATCACTTGGGAGTCTCTGGGAATAAACTGGGAATCGCTAGGAATCTCCTAGGACTCCATGGGAATCACATAGGAATCCATTGGCAATCGCTGAGAATCATGTGGTAAGTAATCACTGGGAATATCATCTCATGCTAATCCAGAAATCGCATATAATATGTCATTTTGAACGATACAGCGTACCGATCAGTTGTCTATTTGCCTTTAAGACTAAGTTTTAGGTTTAGGCAATATTGAGTGCTAGACAGGGTCGTAGCTAGAGTCAAATTTAAGGTAGGGCATGACAAATTTGACATAGGGCATACTCTACTTGCCCCCCCCCCCCCCCCCTTAAATTTTTAATAGGTAAACAAAATGGGGCTAATGGCGCCGAAGGCAAATTTTTCAATAAATCAAGGTTCAGGTTGTATGGTAATGGGTTGGGGTTAGGTAATGGGTAACTTGATGATGCATCTGATCTGGGATACCTTATAGAGATTTGCATTATGTTGAGTCACCCCAAATGACGTTATAAAGTTGCCAGGGCTGGGACTCTGTAACGAATAGAGATATTTTCTCTATCCCTATTGACCGTTCCCTCTCTACTGATTTCGAGAAGAGAGAAGAAGACAGCAAGTGCCATAGCGATAGGGATATAACGATCTCTATACGTTACAGAGTCCCAGCCCTGGCAACTTTATAACGTCATTTGGGGTGACTCAACATAATGCAAATCTCTATAAGGTATCCCAGATCAGATGCATCATCAAGTTACCCATTACCTAACCCCAACCCATTACCATACAACCTGAACCTTGATTTATTGAAAAATTTGCCTTCGCGCCATTAGCCCCATTTTGTTTACCTATTAAAAATTTAAGGGGGGGGGGGGGGGGCAAGTAGAGTATGCCCTATGTCAAATTTGTCATGCCCTACCTAATTTGACTCTAGCTACGACCCTGTCTAGCACTCAATATTGCCTAAACCTAAAACTTAGTCTTAAAGGCAAATAGACAACTGATCGGTACGCTGTATCGTTCAAAATGACATATTATATGCGATTTCTGGATTAGCATGAGATGATATTCCCAGTGATTACTTACCACATGATTCTCAGCGATTGCCAATGGATTCCTATGTGATTCCCATGGAGTCCTAGGAGATTCCTAGCGATTCCCAGTTTATTCCCAGAGACTCCCAAGTGATTTCCATGAATTCCTGAGTGATTACTACTCGGATTACTATGTGATTCTCAAAAAATGTACAATGATTTCCACTAGTGGTTTACCCCTCGATTCAATCTTTGCATTCAACTGAACCTAATTGAAGTCAGTTCAATGATATCCAACAAAAGGCATTCATTTTTGTTAATTTATTGCATTTGCAAGGGTGAACTGATAGGTACGTTTTATTGGTCAAAATAATATGGTAAGCATAAAATATACCTACTTCTAGTACTACATATTTTATAGTTGTGTACTGTCAGAGATAGATACATTATTACTTATTAGATACGTTTGAAAAGTAATTTATAAGTTACTTTTGGAAAAAGTATCTGAAGTTACTTTGGGTAAGTATTAGTTAAGGACTCTTAAGATACTTTACCATACTATATTATTTTTTCCAAATACCAGAAGCAAAAACCTATTAAGCTATTGCTACTTATTTTGTTCACAGGTTTCAGTTTCAATTTCAAAACCACGAGAGTCAGATTAAAACTCACTAATTTGAAAAGGTTTAAAATCACAGGAAGCTCGATTCACAATCACAAATCATATTTAAATTTTTATGGCCCATATTGGAGAAATAGCAACGACGACCTTTGAGTTCACAATCACAATCAACTGTGTTTTTAAATAAGTTCACACTATAAGTTCTTCTTTAAGAGGATTCCACATATTATACAAGGTGGGCCAATGAAAACGAAACAAGAACGATATCTAGTATTCATCGTTAATTGAAAAAAAAAAACGCTCAGAACCGTCAATTTTTATTCGGAGGAGGGAAATCTTTTGCACATATTTTCGACGTTATCACTTCAACCCTCTTGCGGGGGTAAGCTCTAACCCTTAAATCTCAAATGGCATTAGTCCTCAAGTGATACCTCATTTCAAAAATACTTGAAATAATTGTACTACAAGTTCTTATAAGTACTTGAAGTATTTTACCTGAAGTACAATGGATAAACGGTACTTATAGGTACTTGAACTGTTTTTACCAATGTACTTGGCATTGTACTTGATTTGATCAAGTACAAGGACTTGAAGCACATTCAAAAGTCTTTCAAGAAGTACTTGCAGTACATTAGAAATACTCCAAGTACTATAAAAGTACTTAAAGTACGATGAAAGTATTGCAAGTGTACTTCAAAAGTATACTTGAAGCTCGACCTGGAGTACTATATATTTTTAAATATGTGAAGTAACACAGACAAGACATAATGGCTGCTTGTTGGGTTGTTGAAATAGTATATTTCCTAACAAGTGCGGAAAGTGCCACTTTTCCGCACGCGATTGCAGTTTGCCGAACGACGCGTAGCGGAGTTCGGCAAGCAATCAAGTGAGGAAAAGAGACTTTCCGCACGAGTTAGGAACACTATTTTTTCTACGAGTTAGAAGGAACGTACCTACGTAATGTAAATTTTAACACCAATATTTGATAATATTTCTTCTTCAACACCTGGTATTAAAAACAAATCGAGTAATTTTTTCTTAATATAAATAAGGTACTTTTACAAATAAAACTCATTTATTTATTAATAAAAAAAAAAAAAACTAATAGGGTACTTGCATGGAAAATTAAATTGATTATTGTTTATTGCAAACTGTAGGAAATCGAAAAAAAATCGTTACTTTTTTTAAATTCCGCCCCAATATGATTATTCCGGAAGCTATACAAATATTAAGTTTTTTATATATAGATATACAGAGCATGTACGACGTCACAACTCACAACGTATTATACCTAAGTTATGACGTCGGAAGGACATTTCAAAGCGTTGTATCACCGTCAATTTTTGACTAACAAGAAAAAGAAAAAACACGTGTTGACTTATTTTTCATAAACTATCGAAATAAGCAATAAAAAAATTTGATGCAAGGGGCCTATTCTCAAATAATGTGCCTTATTCTGAAGACAATAAAATCGAGAACTTTTAACAATAATTTGTACGTTTGATGTATCTACTATGTAATTTTCGAAATTTTTAAGCATAAAGTAACCATTCTTAGTAATTTCACAAGAAAAGTTGAGTTTAAACCAAAATAATTTAATAAATAACGTTATTGTGTCAATAATTCTCAATGCTGATAAGTGTGTCAGCTCATAATTTAAAAATTGACATCTGTCATTTTTCCGCACTAGTGCGGAAAAGTGAAACTTTCCAAACTAAAATGCGTGCTGAAAAGTGTACTTTTCCGCACGCTCGTAGAAAAAATATTAAATGAAAAAATTGTCATGTTCTATATTTTATTTATTATTTTATATATGAGAAAGACCCATTATAATGTGCTCTGAAAAATTCCAGTACTCCCACAAAACCTTGAGTACTTTGTACTTGTAGGTACTCCAAGTACTTTAGTAAGTAATGTACTTCTGTACTTGTGATAGCTCCTGGTACTAAGTACATAATTTCCTATTTTTGAATGAAATCCATGAAGAATTACCTTTATTTTTTAACAGAAGGGCAGCGACAGCACTATCAACACCCCCAGAAACTCCTAAAGCTACTCTTTTTATCATTTTTTAAAATAAATTAAGTAAGTTCATTTTCCATTTTTTAAATTTTTATCAACTTTAAAAAGTTAGGCTATGTTCAAGAATCGTAAGGCCGCTTTCTGTATGCACATTGGCGCGCTCTAGAGCACCTCGGGGGCGCCACGCACTAGATTTGTACCGTTCCAGTATCATGGCGTGAGACGCCTGTCTTGGTGTCAAATATGTTAAATTTTAAAAATAAGTAAATATCTGTTTGTGCAGTTTGTTTCTTTATTTATCAAAAATGAAGGAGAATCAAAACTATATATTTTAAAATGTTCAATCTTGAGATATAACAAGAAATAAATAGATAAATAGCCACCCGCGGATGTGACAGCTGATAGGTTGACGCGGACGTACAGCTCGGGAGCTCAACGCTTCGAGTAGCTCCGGGCGTCACACTCCCATACTGGAAAGCGGCTTATGTTGAATAAAAAGAAATAACAAAGATTACGTCAAGCTAGTAATGGGCTAATGGCAACCTTTATCGATTTTAGAATTTCTGACAGAAACTAGTGAGAGTGAGCACTACTCGCTCCGGTGTTAGTCGCCCCCGATTTGAAATTTTGAAAGGAACAGATGCGTAGTGCAACACTTTTCGAAAGGATTAAGCGCGTTACGCCCCGGAGTTTTTCCAGAACTCCTGCCAGGTGTGAAAGGAATACAACTATGATCGAAACCGAAACAAATCCGAACCAGTTTGAACTAATTCTGGATCAATGAAGGGCAATCCAAACAAAATGGCCGCCAATGCCAAAAAATTGGCGGCATTAAATTTAATTCAAACAATCGTGATATTTTTCATCAAAAAACTGTTTTTTGTGGTTTTTTTTGATGATTTTTCAGTGTTTGGAAAAATAACTTTCGTATTTTAAGATGGAGAGTTTTTAGTTCAAGAATTTATTAGTGGAAAACCCGGATGTTTGCAAAAGTTATGATTTCTTTATGAAATTTGTTTCCTATTTACTACTATTTAGTTTTTTCTTAACAAAATCCTAAATCTTGATGTACATTTTATATTTTATTTATCTGCTATTCAAGGTATCGACACACACAAGTTGATGTGGAGAATAGTAAATGGCTTGGATCCATACACCCTTTATGTAGAGAGACTTTTTGGTTTTATAATATGGATTTCATCAGATTTTTTCTCTTTTGCTACAATCGATGAAGCTCTTACAAAGTACAGACAAATCGTTTTTCTCCGTTAAAAACCTGTGTTTTGTCTTGTAGGAAAGGCATGGAACAAGACTTTTTCGCGATTAGAACGGCTCCCACAACTAAGTACAATACATAAAGTGTGCATTTCCCAAAAAATCAACACTTTACAGACTTTATACAAATCAAAAATCACAATAAAACGGCATTTTTTTAAATAAAAAGGCATTGACCTCCATTTTGAATTTCTTTTTGACAGGTCGTTGGATTGCCCTATTTCCTACCACCGAACTTATACCGTGCGTTCGGTATTTTGATCTGAGTTCTCCGAGCATAAATTTACCGTTCGTTTATATAAAAAGTGTACTTGGTGCAGGCTCATTCACGTTCCTTTATTGAAATTTTGAGCCCTCTGATACAGCGTTTAACTGCTCTATGTGCTCACTGGTCACGTGATTACAGCTCCGCTCTGCACGCTTTGCTCTTTGAGCAAAATACCGAACGCAAGGTTAGTAAGAACAGAACAGAACCCTAGCATCGGCAAAACTATCAGAATCGTTCCGGAACCGATTCTAATCGAACCGCAAAAGACATAGATAATAGATATTGTTCGTGGATTTTTAACTGACACTTTCCGTATGAGGAGCGAGGGGGTGTTTCATATGGCAAAAACAAGTGTGACGTCACGCAACCATTGGCGTTCTCATGTAGGGAGACACGAGCCACCGGCTCACATTCCGTCCGAGTATCAGATTAAAATCGACGGACAATACAACAATATGCCTCAAAGTTCGTATAGTAGGCCTTTTGACAATCTTGTCACTATTGTGATGGTTAATTTTTTATTAACTATTTTTTATTGTAAATTTTTATTAGATTCTCGTACGTACAATTAATGACTGAGCTACTATGCTTGACCATGAAGATCAGAGTGAAGATGAAGCAGGGGCATGTTCCTACTCCTATTCATGCGAGAATAATCAACGCAGAAGAAGTTCTGGTTCGAAGGAACAGAAGTATTCTAAGTAAGTAGACACTACACTTGCTTCTAGACTCTTTTAGGCCATTTCGAACGTCTTGCTCTTGCATACACCATACACCATCACCGAGGGCGTATCAATGTATATTTCGATATATCGTATCCATAAGCGCTCCTCTATTTCTGATCCTATCTGCCCTGAAGCACCTCGATGGATAATGGGATCAAGGATAATATACACTACTAAGGGCGGGTATTATAAAACTACTTTGAGAGTTAACTTCTGGAATTACATGTAATACAAAAACTTAACTTTAAGTTAACTGTCTGATAAAGCAGTTTTATAATACCCGCCCTACAACTTGTACTACTCATAAAGGCCTGTGTAGTCCAAATCCCAAGCCCCCATCATTTCATAGTACCAGTGATGACGCAGCAGTAGTTTCTCGCCTTGAGGTAGGGTGTTTGCACCACAGGTTATGATTCAAAACAACTCTTTTTTGGATCTTGTTTGCATCTTCCTATTTGCCTATTATGTTAATCAAAATTAAATAACATTATGCATCATAAATTAAAATTCTGAACTACGACCGTTGGCGCAAACAGCTGACGACTTAGTTAATGACGTCCGTAATGGTGCTAATGAATGCCAATATGGCCGCGATTACCAAAACCGAGGCCGATAAGCAATCCTAAGGGCGGGTATTATAAAACTGCTTTGACAGTTAACTTGAAGTTAACTTTTTGAATTACATGAAATTCCAGAAGTTAACTTTAAGTTAACTCTCAGAGTAGTTTTATAATACCCGCCCTAAGTAGTATGTATTAGGGCGGGTATTATAAAACTACTTTGAGAGTTAACTTAAAGTTAACTTCTGAAAATACATGTAATTTAGGGCGGGTATTATAAAACTGCTTTGACAGTTAACTTGAAGTTAACTTTTTGAATTACATGTAATTCAAGAAGTTAACTTCAAGTTAACTGTCAAAGCAGTTTTATAATACCCGCCCTTAAAAAGTTAACTTCAAGTTAACTGTCAAAGCAGTTTTATAATACCCGCCCTAAGGGCTACTTTGAGAGTTAACTTAAAGTTAACTTCTGGAATTACATATTACCTACATGTACCTAATTCAAAAAGTTAACTTCAAGTTAACTATCAAAGTAGTTTTATAATACCCGTCCTTATCCTTATGATTGGTTAAAGTTAACTGTCAAAAAAATCAGCCAAGCTGGAGCATATTTGGAAAACATTTTTTTTTCTCGGAGTACTCCGAACGAATAGTTCCGGAGCTTCCGACGAGGGCGGATAAAATATCGAGTGCAGTTCTTATTGGCAACGCCGGATTTTCAATTTTTTGGATAGGCGATAGCCAAACCACTTTTCCAGTGGCGTCACCTAAAAAGTCGATAATCGACCAATAAAAAAACATGACACTTCTCTGACAGTCACGTGAAAATAACGAAACGATCAGCTGTCCTAGCGGGAGTGGTTTTGTTAGCGATATTTTTGGGTTTTTCTAGTGAAATCCCTCCCGAAAAAAGGTAACAATCAACCCTCAAACCCTACTAATAATCCCTCAATTGAATTAGACTCCCTAGTGAATAATTAACATATCGTAGGTGCGTGTTTTTCTTCGATAACTTATCGATTTTGGAGTTTCCAGGAGTTTCGAGTGCCCAGAGCCTTGTCAACCCTATTATGACCCAGATAGGGGTGTTAAATTATTTTGAAAGGGCGTACATTTAATAAAAATGTAAATTGTGTGCTAGAACTTTCGGTTATTTTGGATCTGTGTGTTTGTATTCCATTGAAATTATATTTTTTCAGTTGTTAAAAGGGCATAACTTATCCTTTCAGGGGTGAGATTTACAATTTCAAGGCTAAAGTCTAATTTAAACCATATTTAAAGCCATTTAAAACTTAATTCAATTCATTTTAACATTGAAATTTATAATATTAAAATCATGTGACTAGTAATGTGACTTCTGAAGGTATTTATCTTGAATGTTTCAGACTATTAAATTTAAAATAAGTCCTACAAAACAAGTAAACCATAATTTTCTATATCTTTATAGACCTCTGAGGTGACCATTGACCAAGTGTTTCTTGTTAAGTTAAAATAAGGGTTTTCTTTCCAGAAAAGACACTACAGGAGTGTCTCCAACAAATAACCAGGAAAACATGACGGAATACTGGCTGATATCTGCTCCGGGTGACAAAACCTGCCAGCAAACATGGGAAACTATGAACAATATGACCTCCAAGCAAAACTCCTTGTGCACCAATTACAAGTTCCACATTCCAGATCTTAAGGTAAGTTGTGATTCCTCCATGTACTCTTAGATGTGATGTGTTGTGCCCTCGGCGGTGCCTATTATGATAAAAATGTTCCTTGTGATAGCAAACATTTTTCCTGAAAATCTAGTAAGAGGGAAATTTTGAAACTTCTAGGGTTGAAATGGGAAAGTTGGAAGCTTATTAATGATAATGATAAGTAATTTTGCTATGAAGTAAAGTTATTTCAAATTAATCCGGTAGAAAAAAACATGAGAAATTCATGAAAATCAAGTTTCAAAAGCTAAATTAAAGAAAATGCACCGCTATACATTTTAATATAGTTTCATGAAAAACTCCCATCATAGTGAATTTTCAAATTGATCCAGTGGAGAGAAACAACATGAGAAATTCATGAAAATCAAGTTAATTGAAGATAATTTATACTCTCATATTTTATTGCTTTTCTGAAAATTTATTAACAAGAAAATTCTGAACCTTTGGGGTATGAAGAGGAAAATCAGGACCTTATCATACTGAAATTTCAAATAAATCCAGTGGAAATCAACATGAGATATTTATGAAAATCAAGTTAATTAAAAAAAAATACACACTCATATTTTAATGCTTTTCTGAAAAAATAGTTGGAGGAAATTTCTAAAATTTGGGATGTAAAGAGGAAAATCCTCGGGAAAATCATTAACTCGATCATTAAGTACCTTATCATACTAAAATTTCAAATTAATCCAGTGGAAAACAGCAACATGAGAAATTCATAAAAATCAGGTTAATTGAAGAAAATACACCTCATATTTTATTTATTTATTTATTTTATTTATTTATATATTTTCGTATAAGAAAAATACATTTGAAGTTGAAGAGTTTAAATCTAAAAAAATCTAACCTAAAACAATTCTCCTGGCCTTCGTCTTAAATTTATCCAGAGATAAACCAAAGAACTCAAGGCCCTCACAGAACTTATTTACATAAGTAATAAGTACCAGGTTCGACAGTAAGGAATGTGCAGTAAAGATTTACTTCGTCACTGATAACTTTGAATGTGTAGATTAAAACATTCAAGACTAGTGATGTGAGTCGGGAATATTCCCATGCGAATATTCGTGAATATTGGAAAATTTCCGAGAATATTCGCCGATAAAAACGTTCTCCTGAATGAGAATATTCCCGGAAACTTTCAATCAAAAACTCTCAAAAAAATATTTCCGAGAACTTTCCAGAAGAATTTTATAAAAATGCGAGATTATTGCGAATACAAGGGTTCAGTGACGTCATTTCAATTTATCTGGATGACGGAGCCCAGTCCAACTGTCTTTACGGAAACGCTGATCCGATTTACCCGATCACCAGCTGATATACCTACAGCCTACTGTTTGTCGTCTTTTTTTTTAAATAATCTTCATTGAAGAAAGATAAAAAATAAAGAGCTGAGAGATTGGGTCAATCAGATCAGCTTTTCCTTTAAAGCCTTATTCAACCATCCATAAAAGTGTTTTTACTACATAATTTAATTTTTAGCTGATCTTACAGAAAAAAATAGGTGTTTTTCTTGGTTTAAAGCTCGGTTTGAAGTCTATAGTCAGTATACCACAATAATAGGTAAATAAAGCTTACCTACGATTTGTCTGATTCAGTTATAAATTTAAAAAAAAAACAAAACAATATTTCCATAAGTTCCCGAAAGTTTCCAATATTCCCGGAAAGTTTCCGAGAATGTTCGCGGCTTTTGAATGTTTCAGGAATTTTACATCACTATTCAAGACATTCGTGGCTTTTTTTTTTTTGAAAAAATTGTGAGGAGAAAATTCTGAAACTGTTGGGGTGATAAGATAGAAGCCAGGGGCTCATCATATTGAAAATCAAATCAATGCAGTGGGAAACAACAACATGAAATTTTTGAAATTTATTTTATGAAATTTATGAAAATCATGTTAATTGAAGAACATGCACTATATATCTCATATTCTAATGATTTTCTGAAAAACCAGTAGAGCAAAATTCTGAAACTTCTGGGATTTGAAGAGAAAAATCTGGACCTTATCATACTAAAATTTCAAATTAATCCAGTGCAAAAACAAAACAAAGATTTTTTAGTTTAATTTAGTTTGTTTTATTGACAGACTATGCCATTTACAAAATTTAATTACAAACAATTTCTGAAATGTGAATATTAATAATTATCATTAAAAATCAATTAATATTATAATCTAGAATCTAGGGGATAGACAAACTTAGAAACTTATAAAATATTATACAACTAAAGATAACAAATTTTTCAATTTATTTTTTATTTTTTTTATTTTAATGTTTATAATTAAGTATGTTGAAAGTATTAAGTATTTATTTTTTATTTTTATTTTAACGTTTATAATTATGTTGAAAGTATTATAAAATAAAAACCATACAAACAACATACAATAATTAGTGTATGGCCACACAGAATGCGATTGAAGCGGCATTAAAACGCGTTTTGGCGTCTACTTCATATGCTTTTCATGTGTTCGAAGATTTTCTTGCGATTTGTGTCCAAAGAAGAAAAGAAGCTGCGTGTTGCATGTTTGCACTATGCAGTTTCTTTAAATATGTCCACCACTAGTGATAATAAGGTTGTATGAAAACTATTACGTACCGAGAACATAAATCTTGAATTAGATTTTGGTGATGAGACTCTCTGGATGGGTCCATGAACCAAGAGAGAATCACAGAGGGACAGGGTGAATTTCTTACTTTTTTCTCCAGTTGTGGCAACATCCTGATAAATTTTTTGAATACTATAGAATGACCATTGAAACCTTTGACTTAATATTGAATAGACATTTTAAATGCCTAAATGAAAAAAAACTAGGCAGAAATCGTCAAAGAACGCACGCTAAACGCGGTCAAAAAACAAACTGATTTGTTTTCATTTGCGATATAAATTCTTCTTCGTCTATCGCTTAAGAAGCGCAAAACGTAAGAAGCGTCTTGTCGGGCCACTCGCTATATATTACATTATTTTAATTCTAGTTGCAAAAGACGTTCCAAACACTTTAGTCACCAAGCGCGTTTTTGCCGCTTTGAACGCGTTCTGTGTCGCCGTACACTTAAGATTTCCTGTGCGAGATTGATAGAATAAACTCTAAATCATATGTTATCAAAAATTTTTTTAAGAAGATTTTTAATAGTTATTTATGTATCAAGGAATGGACCAACAACAAAATAAAATACACAATTAAAACATTGTAATTCTATTTATTTTTGGACATTTTTATTGTGAAGAACAATTGAAAGTAAAGTGCTTTCCTTAAATTGTTTTTGTGCAAAGTGTGTGACAATAAAATCCACATGGTTTGCAATGAAAATGTGACGGTAAACTTGGTATCGGTTATAAGAGATGGCGCCGTATGCGGGCTTATTAATTGTTTTTCATAAATAAGTAAAAAAGGTAATTTTTTTGTTTTGTTTTGGATTTTTTCGATTTATTATGTTAGGATAGACAAAGACGAATTAAAGCAAAAATCATAAAAATCAGTCCAGCCGTTCTCGAGTTATAAGTGCTTCCACAAAACACAACTGTGTTTTATATATATAGATTTTAGAAAAAAGTGTCCCAAATAAAAAATGTATGGTTGAAATTAAATGTTTTGAAAAATTTACTTTTGCATATACAGGGTGTTTTAAAAAAGCTGGTCTTGCTCCAACTTTCTTATTTTACATTGAATACCCTGTATATTATTCAATATTCGGATTCTACGTCAAATTCTGAACATATTTCATGTAATATACCCTATACCTAAGTTCGAGCCTAAGTTCAACTGTTTTGGAAATATTGACAGTTGAAAATTGACTTTTTTGCAAATATGACAGGCTGTAAAACCTAAACGGTTAACTTTTGAGCAAAACCGATCTTACATTTTTTTCTAAGATTTTCACAAGTTATCATTTGACACCAACTTTGAATTTAACCGAAGATTAAATTTAATTGGAATTTTCAATCAGAGATTAAATTCAAAGTTGATGTCAAATATTGGTGTCAACTGATAGTTTATAAAATCTAAGATAAAAATGTAAGATCGGTTTTGCTCTAAAATTAACCTTTTAGGATTTACAGCCTGTCAAAGTTGCAAAAAAGTCAATTTTCAACTGTCAATATTTCCAAAACAGTTGAACTTAGGTATAGGGTATATCACATGAAATCTGCTCAGAATTTGACAAAGAATCCGAATATTGAATAATATACAGGGTATTCAATTTAAAATAAGAAAGTTGGAGCTCGACCAGCTTTTTTGAAACATCCTGTATATGCAAAAGTGAGTTTTTCAAAAAATTTAATTTCAACCATAAATTTTTTGTTTGGGACACTTTTTTCTAAAATGTCAAATAAAAAAGAAAGAGGGGGGGTGACATTTATAACCAATAACCTTGTACATAGATAATTTTATATCCTACTGAATTTACTGTATTCTGTCTATTTTTATAAAGGAATAAACTATATAAAGTTTTACCTACTCAAGAAATGCGGGAGTCATGGAAATCCTTAACTCCCTTGGGAGTTATGATATTCTTAACTCCCGCGCGGGAGTTATGAAATCCTTAACTCCCTTGGGAGTTAAGACCCTGTTTATGATTATCGTTACCAAGGTATTATATGGTTATAATAGTTCAGTAGGATATAAAGCTCTTAACGCTAATGTCGAAAATATCAACATCAAAATTTTCTTAATACACATTAGCACACCTGCATGATCTGTCCATTGCTGAATTATATCTATAGTTAGTTCTGTGATATCTAACTGCAAACAGATAGATTATTTTGTCTAGTATGAGTAATGAATACAGCTGGTCATAATCGACAGAGTCTGCAGGAATGCTTGACTTATACCTCGACTTATACGCTATAAAACGAAGAAATTTCTTCTGTACACGTTCAAGTCTATTTTTATGTATTTCATAGAATGGGAACCATATTGTACAGCCATACTCTAGAATTGATTTAGATCAGTTGGAAATTATTCAAAAATATATTCTAAAAATTATCTTCAAAAAAGAAAGGCGTTACCCAACTCATTTACTCTTTTCTGAGGACATTATCTGTGTTCGTTCCCTCTATATTCTTAATATATGCTCATTTGTACATTGTTTAAGAAACTATGTAGACCATGCTTATGCTACTAGGACTAAAGTCAACAGGCACTTAGCTATTCCAAATAGTAATAGAAATATTAATTGACGCTTCATAAATTATTTGGCTCCACGATGTTATAACTTGCTTCCTGGTAGCATAAAACTTATTAAGAACCATAAGAAATTCTGTGCTGAATGTAAGAGATACATTTTCAGGAATCTCCAGCAATTTATGATTCTGTTTTGATTGAATCTCTTGGGAGTTTATTCTCCATTCCTTAATGAGTAGGCTACGTTAGTTCAGTTGTCAATTTAGGAGTAGATTAGGCTAGTTCTTAGATTATGAAAATAAAATGAACTTTTTTTTAGGATTAATATTGTGATGTTGTTTGCTGTTGACAAACAATACACAATAATTATCATATTATTATTTACTAACAAATAAGTTAAATTCAAAGGGCACATACGGATGTTAAGTCATCTAGGTGCTGGATATACTTGTTATTAACCATATCATAAACCTGTTACCATTAAGATACAAAATGTGAACATGTATATAACCTTACGTAATATAATGTCTAATAATAATAATAATTGCAATATAAGCTTTCCTCAATGTTGGAAAAGTCTTTCAATGATCCTATACCTAATAAAACCAAGCAGTTTCATGGCCCTATTTGCTATAAATTCAATATGGTCCGTGAATGTAAGAAAATGCTTAGAAAAATGCACAATTTCATATTTCAATGTGTATTTTTTTTAAACTAGGAAGGAAAAAGTCTTTAGGTGTAGAGGAAAATCTGCAGCTCATAATACTAACGTTTCAAATTAATCCAGTGGAAAACAACAATTTGAGAAATTCATGAAAATGAAGTTAATTAAAAAAAAACCACCTATATTTTAATGGTTTTTTGAAAAACTAGTGAAGGGAACATTCTGAAACTTTCTAGAGGTGTAAAGAGGAAATTGAGGACCTCATCATACTAAAATTTCGAATTAATGCAGTGAATGCAATGAAAATCAACTTGCAAATACTAAATTAAAGAAAATGCACCACTTTACATTTCAATACTTTTCTGAAAAGTTAATCGAGCAAAGTTTCGAAACTTTTAGGGTTTGAAGTAAAAAATCAGAACTTCATCATGCTAAAATTTTAAACTAATCCAGTGGAAACCCAGAAATCAACAATGTGAGAAATTCATGAAAATCAACTTTAAAGAAAATGTGTTCTTTCAGATTTTACTAAGGTACTATTTTTTGAAAAAAACTAGTGATGAGAAAATTCTGAAACGTTTGGGGTGATAAGATGAGAGTTAGGTGCTGATTACATCAAAATTTTAAATTAATTGAGTGAGAAACAACGATATGAAAAATTCATTTGAAAGAACTTTCAAAAATTAAATCAAAGAAAATGCACTGCTTTGTATTTTAATACTTTTCTGAAAAACTATTTAGGGGAAAATTCTGAAACTTCTGGGGTTTGAAAAGGAAAATCAGGACATCATTATACTGAAATCAATTCAGTGAAAAACAACGATATGAGAAACTTTTGGGCTGATAAGGACTTTCAGTGAGAAAAATTACAGATACCTCTGGAGTGACAAGAGAAATGTTAGTAGCTCATCAGCTCATCATACTAAAATCTCGAATTAATCCAGAGGGAAACAGTAACATAAGAGGTTCAAGAAAATCAACGTTCAATAACTTAATCCCATGGGGTGAATATGTATTTTTTAAACTACTTCTGGTTCCAATAATTTTTCTTTAAAATACATATTATCAATTCATTCAGAATCGAGTTCAAAATACAGTTTAATGCGAAACATAACGGAACAACTTTGTGCCTGAAAGGATGATTTACTTCTTCAATTTACACCAACATGCCGCATAATTTTTTCCATCCCTCCTATGTTATTCATTTTGGTATATTTTTTTAAAACTAAGTATACTAGACTTAACCTAAAATAAGCTAAACAAACACACATTCACAAACACAAATAGTTTAATTGACTAGGGCTGGAATTATAATGTCCGGTTGACCAAGGGTTGAGAATCAGGTTGAAAGGCAATCTTCGGTTAACCGGACATTATAATACCGTCCTTAGATCATCTCATCTGTAACTCTTTAAAGTTCATCCTATTTTCTGGAACAATGTCAGAACCTCAGTCAAAAATAACTATTCTCCAATGGCCAATAATTTTTTTTCTCAGTGGGCGATTTCCTAATTTGGCCCCAATATGAACGGCTCGATGAACGGTATCTTGAATGTAGCATTTAAATCCATTCAAGTCTAAGTGGATCCAATTCCAAAAGGGTTTTCTTTGACATTTATTAAAACTTTCAGACATTTTTCATTTAGATAAAAATTATCATCATACATTTTTTTTTTTTTTATTCTCTTAAATTTTTCTGTAAAAATCATGAAGTGAAATTTTGGGAGAATTTCTTCAATAAAATTGTCCAACGTCCAACACAAAACTAGATTTTTTTTTTCCACAAATTCCTCTAAATTCCCCACATTTTTGGAAAATAATTCCTAGATGATTTTCTCCTTGAAAAATATCTTATCTACGCAACAACTTGAGCAGGAAAGAATGACTCTTGCAAATACATTGCAAATGAAATCGGTGGATATGGTAAATGTTCTAGATACATATCATCACGCTCAGGAAATTTACCAAAAAGCAGCTGATACCAAACCAAAGACATATGTCACTGTAACACAAGAAGTGAACCAATACAAGAAGAAACACAAACGTGGAGTACATCTAAAGTCTTGAAGAAGCTAGAAACAGTTTTTAAAATTAATAATATCTCAGATCCAAAAAAAACAATGCGCCAACTGAAACAGGAAATTGGAGGATTGGGTATGGAAGGAGGATTCAAAAATATTAGGCACCTGAAAAGTGGAGCAATAGTTATAGAAATCCGCAATGAAATGCAACAAAAGAAACTGAAAAACATACTGAAAAACAGCAGCAACATAAAACATGGAATAAAATGAACTAATGAATCGGATGTTTATGGTAACTGGAATTCTAAAAGGCTACTCAGACACTGAATTTGCTGAAGAATTAATCAGAATGAATGACGAGATTGAAACTGAATTGAACAAAATTGACAATATTGAAAATAAAATTCAAGATAAAATTAGAGTTATAACCAAAAAGACTTGTCGTAACCCCACCAAAGAAAACTGGCTATTTCAAGTTGAACCAGCGATTGGCTAAGTGTTTTTTGGAAAGAGAAACCGTAAACTTTGAACTATCGAAAGTATATATTCAAGAGTACTAAATAACTAAATAAATATCATATTAACAACGTCTAATAACTAAATAAATATCATATTAACAACGTCTATAAAATGCGAGATTCAATTTTCAAAGTTATTTTTTTGTGCTTGATTAATTATATTATAATTATCATGATGTTCTTTCTTAGGTTGGTACCCTGGATCAACTGGTAGGTCTATCTGATGATTTGGGCAAGCTGGACGGGTTTGTTGAGCAAGTCACTCGCAAAGTGGCTTCTTACCTCGGTGAAGTACTGGAAGACCAGCGGGACAAGCTACAAGAAAACTTGATGGCCAATAACAGTAAGATTTTACCTTGTAGTTTTTCTATTTATTTTTTATTTATTTTTTTGGTTTTTGTCTTTGCTGATTAAGGATTTCTTTAGTATTTTTTATCTATTAATTCATGAAAATTGTTAAAGAAGTTGGTCTAACAAGCAATGACAAACCAATTTTATTGAACTATATAATTTATTTTAATTGGCGACAGGCATGGGTTACAAAATTCAATCAGTGAATGTTTTTTTTTTTGTTTGTGTGAGTTTTTTTTTTTGGTTTGGTGTTAGTTTAAGCTATAGATTATGTAAGGAAACAACTCTAAAATTAAGCAGACTTCAAAGATGGCTATTTCTAAGCTAAAATCCAATTTACTTAATCTATAGTTTCCTTAAACACCTTATTTTGTTTCTTTATTGGGGGAAAACGTATCACAAAACTTTACGAGGCAAGCCATAATAATAAAATTGAATTAGATTTAGGTTAGTTGTTTTCAAGGAAATTTAATAGTCTGCAGTGCCTTGGGCATGGATTTTTAATTACTTAATTTTTTTTACTAACAATCACTTACAAAACACCAAAGCTTCTTTATGGCAATATTTCACATTTTTCTTGTCCAACAGAAATTTCTATGAAGTCAAAATGCGCGAATGACTTTTGGCACATTTTAAACGTAAATTATATTCTGGAACTATTCTTGCATTCAACTAAACTTGTTGAATTACCTTTGATGCTAGAGCAGCTTTACCAAAGGCAGAGTTTTATATAGAGAAAAATGTGAGTTTTTTTGAAGGGCTAATCATGTTTGGTAAAAATTTTAATATAGGCTCAAAATTGTCTATAGGCACAATCCATCTTATGACACTAGAGATTGGCAAATGTTGCTCTAAATAGCTAGGAAAAAGATTATTATATTAGTTTCACATATGGGCTTCTCAATCTTCTCCGACTCTACTTTAACTCAAAAAAAATCTTGGTTTTATACTCGTTTAGGTCAATTTTTGCTCTCTTTGAGCCGGGAATAAAATCAATAATCTTCTCTGGGTAGTATGATGTCCGGAAATCTGATTTCTTGATTTTCTTTATCTTGTTTAAATTTTGGCTTGTTGAGATTTCTGATCTATCTAGTAAGTTCTAAAATCAGAGTTTAATACATCTCTAGTTCTATTTCAGCTCTAGCAGATAATAGAATTTTTCTATATCTCTAGTTCAAATTTCAACTGTTAGGATAGCTGGGAATAGGATTTTTATGCCTCTCCAATTCTTTCAGCAGAATCTGGATAACTATTAAAGAGTGGACATTGAATTGGGAAAAAGCCTCAATGTAGGTATGGTTTCCCTCCAACAAACACCAGTAACAAAAGTTTCAAATCAGCAAAAGTCAGAAAACCCAATGTTCAAACAAAATACATTCATATATTTCTCCTCCAGCTTTCTAAGAATCTAGAAATGTCTTGAGACTTCAGCAATAGAAATTTTTGATCATTAGCATCTTATTGGTGAGTGAGGCTATGAACTTAAAAATACCAGCTACGTTTTCTAAGCTTTTTTAAGCAATATTCACTGCTTTCTAGTCATGGTGCGCCTATGGATAATAACTTTACTGTTATAACGTCATACAAATTTGACCATAGTTTCTATTTTCAAGCAAATTCAACGATTTATTTACATAGGTAACACGCGAAAATTCTTGATCAGTAAGTATCTAATTTGAATTCTATGTATTCTAATTTAGTATTTTTTTTGAGTTGGGTAAATTGATTGTTAACGAATAAATTAAAAACGCACATGTGCGTACCACGACGAGGGTAAAAATTTAAAAAACTAATTTCCCACGTCATAGACGACCCGTCAACCACCAAACGCCACACACGCAGACGTTTTCCATTGGGCAAGCGCAGTCAACACAGCGCTACCCGACGGCACATGCGCGCTTTGGGTTGCGGAGGTGCGTGCGACGGCTGTCTAGGTTTGTTAGGTGGTACTAGCAGCGGGCGGCCGCCCGATCACGACAAGGGCAGCTGTCGTCAAAGTCCAATTAGCCCCGAAGCGAGTTGCAGTAGCGACGAGCACTGCGAGGAGGCCCTAAAATTTGAAGAGAAAAAGAAACGTCCCTTGTTTAGTATCGGCTCGTCGGACAAGTCCGCAGCGGAGCACGAGGTGGACAGGAACGATGACGAGCAGGATGCGAGCCCCGTCCACAGCCAACCGCTGGTTGGGCCAGGTCAGTCGGTGGCCGTGTCGAGGACCGAGCGGGCGACTAATCGGCGTTGAACGCACCCTGTAGGGCTTTTTTTTCACGCAGTATTTGATTCGGGAACAGGACATGATCTTTGCAATAATAATAATCGAACAATATGTAAAAACCACCTATATCCTCAAATTAACACAAAAAAAATTCATTATTTCAAATATAACAACTTTCCCGTGCCTAAGAATAACCCCCAGCTGTGTGGGGCACTTCATTTAATACTTAAGGATACTTTAATAATACTTTTATAATTAGCACAATCTGACTAAAATTTGTCGGAAGTGTCGTAAGTAAAAATATACCTAATTGAGATGTATGAAACAAAATAAACAATTATCCAAATTTAAGCAACATAATCTGAAGAACTTATACGATTTCCACTATAAGGTCTACTAGATTTGTTAGAAGTTGACTGAGACTCCAACTCAGATAGATGGCTGAGATTGCTCAGAAAAATATTATTCATCTGAAGCCTTATTGCTATTGGAATCTCCCACGATTTTAGTCCATTTGTCATCAGAGTTCAGAATTTCTTTTTGATTAGATTTATACAGCTGTTCGCAATTTTTCTCTAATTTGCCTTTGGCTGATGAACACTATAAATTATCCTTAACATAGACCACTTCTCGGCTACTAAGGTCAAGAGGTCTTCCTCTGTTCTTTAAATTGTGGACATTTATAACTATTTTGTCGACATTCTAATTTTGACTTCGACTATAACATCATTTGCCTTCTCTAGGTGATTTAAAAAAATTTCAGGCATTGGTAGAAAGGCATTTAAATTTCTCCCTAACAATAATGCACTAGAAGAGTTATTAATTGACGAATCTATTGCAGTATTTCAAGCTGTGGTATTTCTATACTCCGATAAGACAATGTTAATGTCTATACCAGAATACCTATCCTGCTTTTTTTTATTGTTTGAACGCACCTTTCGATTCTTAGCTTTCGGTCAGCCCGTTAGATTAAGGGTGAAACGGGCTAGAGTTATATCTCTGAAATTCCATACTTTTGTGAAATATTTAAATTTATGGTTCAAGAACTAAGGTCCATTATTATCACTATAAAACAGCTTTGGTAATACCATATCGTGCAAAATTACTCTGCATTACATAGTAAATATTTTTGTTAGATATAGATAGATCTTTAATTTCAATAAATTTTGAGAAATACCCAACCATTAAAATGGCGGCGCTTGGATGCATTGGGCTCCTAAGCAAATATCACAATTAGGCCCCCCTGGCCCCTACCCTTGTAATGAAAAAACAAGATTTTTTGTACTCAATAATTTGTCTTTTAATAAACCTTTGAACCGAAATCAAATAAAATAAAATAATGAATCCAAAGCAACAAAAGCAACAATAGTTATTTTCTATACAAGACGATAAAATGGTAGTTTATCGTTGACCGGAAAAGTTAATTCAATTCAGCCTAATTATGGACGCCTGTAGTATTAAAAATATTTAGAAATTATTTTATTCAAACACTTTTGCATAAGTAGAAAATCATTTGACAAAAAAATAAAAAACAAAATATGTATATGTATTTGACAAAATAAACGTCTTTATCTATCCTTGCTGTTAAAGTATCATTTAATCTACCCTTACGGTTAAGGTACTACTTTATCTACTATTTTTAGTAGAAAGGCTACTCTCTCGGCTAATCTTTACCAGTAGCTATGGAGAAAATAATATTTTTTCCATAGCTACTCTCCCGGAATTAATTCACTCGCGATTCCGCTCGTGAATTAACTTTTCCGGTCAACGATAATCTACCATTTTATCGTCTTGTATAAAAAATAACTATTATTTGGTAGAAACACATCAAATCAAAACTTAATTTTCTCTATTAACACATTGCATACCACGTGTATCTTGGGAAAATATGTGGCTGAAATGATAGATTATACGCTGTGTCTAGAATCCCGGTACCGGTAACACTTTTTTTACCGGTAGTTTTGATGCCGTCACCCATCCTAAATAGTATAGTTACATATATTGTCTTGAAGTAAATTAATAAATATTAAATTCGATTATGAACTGCTATATAAAGTGTTTCATTTTAAATTTGTTTAAATTCTCAGGGGTTTTCCGAAATACCAACTTTAGTTTACTATTATCTGATTGCAGATTACTTCTAATCTGGGATGAGTTGTTTGACATTTCCGAACGCAAATCATTTAGGGCTATTTGCACGGCTATATCTTAAGGGATATTTAATCTAAGTGGAGCTTCGAATGTGACTCTTGTAGAAGCAAACGTCACATTCAAAGCTCCACTTAGATTAAATATCCCTTAAGTTATAGCCGTGCAAATAGCCCTTATATAAGGTATTTCGAACCTAACTAACTTTTATGGTTTGAAATGTTTCAAAAAAGTGACGAAAGCATTAATAAACTAACTTAAAATACCAATCAGCTGATAAATAACGATAAAAACAAAATCAAAACACCGGGATTCACTTAAATCCCGGTACAAGTGCGTCATATTGATTACGTCATCAAAACTACCGGTAAAAAATGTGTTACCGGTACCGGGATTCTAGACACAGTGAATATATTGTTTATAGTATTTTTTTGTTTGCTTTTAGCTTTTTCGACCATTTTTTCTGTCAGTCATATATGACTGACGTGGCCCCCAGGTTATTCTCATGGACTTGGACATGGAGGGGGCCACATCAGTCAAATATGCCCGAAGATTTTTTTCTATTGTTTCTATATACCTATCTATCTAAATAGATTTGCATATGAATGTTTTAGTTCACTTTTTTAAAATTTTGTATTGTTTTTTTACTTATAACTAAGAAATAAATATTTTTCTTTGTGTAATACTCAAATTATTATACCTTCTTAAACCTACAAGACGACAGTGTTCTTATAGAGCAAAAGGACAATACCTATTATTTTTATTATTATTTAATTCACAAGATTAACATTGACTTCTTTCTATAAGACAATTTGTGTAACCGCGACTGCTGGCACAAATTTAGTCTGTGATAACAATAATAACTATTTCTTAATTGCCTAAATAAAAAGATAGGTATAATACAATGTTTGATTTAAAACCATAAAAAAAAGTAAATAGCCAAGTTTGCCCAAACCAAGTATACCGCACAGGCCACTCTTCAAAATTCAATAGGGAAATATACGTATCGTCGCGGGCAGGTAAATATGATTGACACGGCCTGGGGCCTGGTATGCTAAAGTGTGCGTCAAGCATATACAGGGTGGTAATTTAAGAAGTAGCAATCGGGAATATCTCTTAGACAAAAAATACTATCAGGAAGATCTCAAATATTATATATATTATAAAAGTTAATGCGAATGTTAATCGTAGCCACAAACCAATTTCATTTGACTGTGACTGATCTCTATATTCTTGAACTAACCCATATTCTTGGATCTTTCTATACCAAGCTTATGCCAAATGGAATCTACACCCTATTGTTTTTGCTAACAGCCAAATAATTTGAACAGCATTGTGAATACTTTTTTCAAAGTCCACTACAACTTCAGATATATTCAACAAAATAATAATGGAATGTAGTGGTCATTATAAAAACCATGTATGGTAAAAAATTGGTAAAAAAATTTGGGACAATAGCTAAATGTTCCATCTAAATATATTCGCGTAACTTTTTCCAAAAAGGAAAAAGGCTGCAACTTCCTGCGTGCGTTATACAAATTTCTCCTTATGTAACTAACATCTGGAATGGTTAGAAATGTGTTTTTCTGCGATTGACAAGAAATATCACCATTTTTGACCGGATCTGAGTCTACGGAAGGAATTCGGACGTAAATGTGCCATGTTGTCACGTTTAATTATAAGAAAGCGAAAATACTAGGCATGCAGTATAGTTCATTTGAGAATCCATTTTTTAATAACAAAATATTGATAACAATAATAAAACGCTAAATATTTTAACATGGTTGTTAGATCTATTCTTATTTTAATCCTGATTTCTGCAATTTGGTCTATTGTAAAAAATAAACATTTTCTAAAGATATCATCAGTTTTTGACTATTTGGCAAGCATCAGGCCTGGATGAACCTGATTGGTGGAGTTTTTGGCAGGATTTCCGTTGTCATGGGGAACCATACGATTGTCAATGAGCTAACGTCACCTTACGTCTCGCTATTGGCCAGGGCTGACGTCATTTCATCCTCCCATCTTGGAATATCGATTTATATTGAAATATCCAGTGGCGGAGGTTTGGTCATTGTCGATTTTCGTGTACGAGTTGCAATACGATAACACTTCCAAAAAGTTCCGCACGCAGCTGGGTATTTTATGAATGAAATCAGCCATTTTTGTTTACAACTGCATTCCCCTCACCGTTACCCCGTAGACACAGACTCGCTGGGCAGACATTACTTATAACTTTATAAGACACTTATTTTTGAATTGTACTTGTTGATTACCTATCTATTACTAGTATTCATAATAATTATCAAGATTCTTTTGGTTTCGACGATAAGAATAAACTAATGCATTTTATGCATTTTAGGGATTAAAAATACCTCTTTAATCCCTGTTTTAAGGGGGTGAAGTGGATCTTTCAATCCCCGGGATTAAATTTTTCTTTATATCAAATCAAATCAAAATAAGCTTTATTGTCCAAAAAAACATTATTTTTCATTGGCAATTTTCCAAGGAATAAAATTTTTACTTTATTTCCCGGGGATTAAATGAAACAGGGAATAAAAGGGTACTTTGAATCCCTCTAAAGTACATAAAATAGTGTATAACCCTCAGGACTAAAGTGTTTTTTTGATCCCTCGACAAATTTTGTCTCGGGATTAAAAGTAGGTACCACTTTAGTCCCTAGGTGAATAATGTACCATTATTATTTTGCGTTATTTTTTATTTTTAAATTGTGTTAGAAGTTTTATTATTCAGTTACATTTTATTTCCTTCATATTAAATTAGGTATTCCTTCAAAAAAAATAAGTGTCCCGATTTTTATTGAAAGTC